TGCAGAAAGGGCAGATTATCAACAGTGACAAACACTGAACACAACAGGCCGCTATGACAATGCATTCATATGTAGGTTATCCCTCCCTCTCTTCTTCTCTCTCTCCATCCCTTTTCGTGACCATCTGTGTTGACCACCCACGAAGACACACACAATAACCTACTTACTTGCATGTTTGTGCACTGTTTGTATATCAGGCTTTCTACTTACCGGTAAATGCATGTTTGCCTACATGTCTGCCTGTCTGTTTGCACTGAAAAAAATGATCATTACCTGAGCGCTGTTTAGCTCCATCTGACTGTGCCTGTAAGCTAAGAAGATGTAAAGATTGCACATGGAGACAGGAGTCCTTGTTTCCTTGGGGGCGTTCTTCAATCAGTGATAAAAAAAGATTACAAACCTGGGACATAGATTACTGTCAACAACACGGAGACACACTGGATCATGGAGGGCGTGAGCCCACATATAGACTTTCAAAAATAGACACACAAAATCCTGTTGAAGCAGGAACTCACTGATGGAAGCAAAAACAGGTATTAAGTAATATCAGTGACGATGCGTGTATGCATCGTTTGTTATTGCTGCTTACATTTCCCAAAAAAAACATGCATTTTTTGGTGCTTTATTAATGTCCTGCCCCTAGATGACGTCACGGGGCTGTCCAATATCTTAGAGGGCGGTACGTCTGGGTTTCTCGGCTTTTAACGACCCCAAAACATCTAGAAGAAGAAGGAGAAGACTAGTACTACGATGTTAGCTGCTCACGCATACTCTCAATAGCAAAGCGACAAAGAGAAAAATATCACATAACCACCCCTCTCCAGTGTAATCATTATCTGCTAATGTTTACCTATGTGAATTGATTTTGCCTCGCCACTAAGCAATATACATTGACATATGGAGTCAGAGAACACAGGGGGCAGCCAGCAAGTATCTGCACGCTTCAAATCTCACACTAGACACAGCAGAGTCGGCCAGCTGTGTGGGTTTTGCACAGGACAGGGTAGATCAGAGTCTGTCTACATTATGTGTCACCGACAGTGTCAAGGTGATAAAAGATCAATGAATAATAAAGTGCACAAGCGTAGGATTATAAACGTGTAACAGTGTAACATTACATAAATAACTGTGCAAACCTGAACCAAACATTTAAGGTTGATTATATATTTCCCCCGTGTGGGTTACGAGGCACCATTGTGGGGAAAGCAAGAATAGACCTATAGCCTACCCAGAAAAAAAAAGCATGTCATAATTGTCGACTAACTGGAGCTTCCCTCAAAGTGGCAGTGCACCTGCCCCATCTTCAGGAAACAACCAACTACACATAAATAAGCTAGTAAAACGGATGTACACGCAAAACTCAGGCACAAAGCCAAAGTCCAAATGGACAAACCATGACTTTTCGCTAGAGCTTAC